TTGCTTGATCTTAAAGTTTTGACATGTTTTGACATCTTTTTGACTAAATTCTTGAGAAAATATCTCAGTTATTCTGTAATAATTTTGAACTATTAGCTTTTATTCTTTCATCTATTTTATCTAAATAGTTATATCAGAGTGTTCCAAGAAATAGTTAAAAAAGATACAAAGCTAATTTTGGTGTCATGCCATAAAAAGAGACCATATGTTAGATGCATTCAATATAGACCAAACAGAAATGTTAGGGACCATGAAAACTTTTAAGGACATTTTTGTTTGTGAAGACTGAGTACATTTCATAAAAATAACCCCAAAAATATTCATGATCTAAAACTCCTTTTTTTCAGAATAGATGGGAAGGCTTTCATAAATTTATTGTTAAATGTTTTTTATCATAGTACAAAGGGATGTTGATACTATGTCATCCGGCTGAACCAGGGACAATATGCCGATACTATCAGGGTGCAGGGTTGGGAAATGGGAGAACGACTTCAAGCAGCACCAGGGAAGGTATGTTAAATTGAAGATGAAGGTAATTAACTGATCAAGTAATCTATCTGATAAATTAACAGCACTAGGCGCTATATCATGGTTAAAAGCACCAGGATAACTATTTTCAAACTGAACAGGAATATACGAAAAATGTTCGTCATCTATATGCCTGATAAATGGCATTACTCGGTAGGTTATAACTTATATCATGGTTAAAACCACCAATAAGTAACAAAACTATCATGATTAATCTACCTTGAAAATGGCATCAGGCATTATATCATGTTAAAAAAACAATTAGGGTGTGTACAGGGGTGGAAATAACTTTAAAATTGCTAGTGTACTCCGGTACAGTGGCACATGTAAAATCACTTGCCCTGATAATTTTTCCGCTATACTGGCTGATTTTCTTGGTGATTTTTTAAATAAGCAACATAATTAACATTGGAATGTCAACTGGACACTGGTACAGCGTGACATACAAATTTGCTTGCCCGACAAAAAACCCACTGGACTCAGACGTCGGGCAATGGGTTATTTCCACTCCTGATGTATGTTCAAACTGAAGAGAAAGGTAACAAAACAATCATGACTAGTCTACCTGAAAAATGTCATTAGGCGCCATACCAGGCTCAATAGCACCCGGACAACTATTTTCAATTTGAAGAGGGAGGTACCAAAATAGTCATGTCTAATACACCTGACAGTTTTCCAAATTACACATTTGGGATTAAAGCTGTCTTCAAAACTTCTTCCATATCCTCATAACAATCACTTCAGATTTTGATGAAATATAAAAACTTCCAAATCTAATATTTTCCGTCACAGGCGCCATATGAGTGAATCAAATTCATTCACTGTAACATTTAAAGTAATGATTATCTCACGTTTTCCTTAAACACATTCTAATCCCTCTACTTAGACATAAAGAGCTACTATTATAAACACCCAGGTACAAAAACTCCCACAGGTGTCCGACACAGATTATCCAACATCCATCAAGAGGGTTACACAGTTTCCCCAGTCCTCAATTGTCCCATGCCGAGTTTTCACTGATTCTCCAGAAAACAAAATAGACATTTACTCTTACAAGTTCCCAATCTGTATGGCCTTGTGGGGCATAAAGCCCCTTGGCCATACAACATACTGGTGTAGGTCTTAAGGGACAATTAGCCCAGCAGGACATGCCTATTATAGCTGGTGGGGGTTAACCCCCTACTAGCCCCTTACAGCATCATGTCGAGGCCCTATTTAGGCAAGTACATTTAGAGCCCCAACATAATGATTGCTTTCAATATATTACCTTATTTTGACATTGTTGGCGGAGGGACTCTTCAGCTTTGTAATTTACCTGTCAGCTTTGATGTTATTCACTGTTTTTATTGCATGTTGATATTGGTTTTATTGCATGTGTGTATTCACTTGTTGACTTTTATGTTCTGATTTACACCTTAATCAGCATTTTACAGGTGGAAATTATTAGGTGTAACAACCAGATATATAAATATACAAAGTCCTAGATACAGGGATGAACATCAAACAAATCTCACATTCTAGTGTGAGGACTAATTTTGGACGTTACATATACATTTTAGAATAGATGTTATTATCATTGTTGATTTAATTACCATGCCACTTAATGTCTCGTATGTTGAAAACTAATGCAAAGTGTGTGTCTTTTAGAATGAAAATATATTATATTTATTTTTATATTGTACAAATTCAATATAGGTACAAACTGGCATTTGTAAAATTCCTGAATGGGTGAAAGTTGTGATCAGGAGCACACAGAAGCTTTGTACTGACAAAAGGATTTGCTGAAGATGACATTCACAGCCTTCTAAATTCATGCTGGTTGGTTAGTCCAAGACTACTATAAATAATGCTGAGGACTAGGAAAATTCCAATAATGGTAAACCTCAGCGACCAGAAACATTCAAGAGATTTAATTTGAAGTAGTTCTCAGTGGTTTGGTGTTGCTACAGAATGGGACCAGATAATAGAGACGGAACATCTAAACAATCTGAACATTCCTTCATTAAGTAGGACTAGTTACAAATTCAGAGGATTTGAGCAACAGGTCAACACTATTCCTGTATAATAATCATAAAATACAGAATTTATAAGGCCACAAATAGTATTAACAATATGTTTTCTAGATGCCTAAAACACATACAGTGAAAACAGGCATATGGGACTGGTAATTTGTTCCAAAGGGTCGGATGAGGTCGGTGAGATTTGTTTGCCATCAACCCCTATTTTATATAACATTTTCTCAAGGGACCCCCTTCTTTCCATGTGTTGTTTCTTTGTGGCTATCCCAAACCCACACCGCCCCATCTCCGATAATAATTAACCAGTCCCCAATTCCTGAAAACATTCACCAGAATCTTGACTTAGCTGTCACAACAGCCAACATTCCCGGCATGGCTACGGCATGCTTTTCAAAGTCAACCCAAACAATACAAGTGATTTCAAAGCCGACACACCTGTAAATTTAGTTTCCTACTCCGAAAAATAAACCACTTTGAGAGACACACCGGCAATTTTATTCCCGACAGTGCGCTCCCAGCAGACAAGGAAAACAATGCTTTTGATGTTAAACATCAGTATCTTCCACATACCCATGTCTGTTTCAACTATGCACACTGTAACAATTTAAGACACAAGTTGGCATTCTTAGCTTGACTCCCAATAGCTTACATACACAGGTCCACATAGTTGAACAAAGTTACAAGGTGCTAGGGGTGATATATCTTATAACACTCTCTGTTATCAAGTACGCGGAGTTTATTTCCAGAATAGTTTCATTCCGGGACGTTTGATTGACGTTGTTAATTTCACGTTGTAAGTTTCAAAGGTAATTCACCGCAATATTCGAACGTAGAAACACGTATACAAAATTGCCCAAATAGTTAGACAGTCTCGAACGTTGAAATGTATATTATATTTCCCTAACCACTAACTATGTAATGTATGAAACGGGATCAAGTTGGGGTATTACTTGTGTATCAACTGACAATGCTCGAAATGCCAACGGAAACCACAGCCCTTATTCAAATCCCAAAACGTACAACCATGAGATATAGATATTATAAATCAACAATATTAGCTACTGGGTAAAGTCTCTCGAGTAGGTCTTAAGTAGGAGCTGGTATATCCATAACAGGACCAGTCATAATTTATTCCCTACTTGAAAACGGGACAACTGTGGGCGGTTCCCTGCCGAATCATAACACATACAAAACAAGCGGCGACTTGGTTCCGTCTGTCAAGATAATCATATAGTAATCATATAATACTTAACTTTCACATAATAACAACAAACGGTACCAAAACACTGAAACATCACAACTTGAACGCATTTCGGTAAACAACATTATTCTTAAATACTATATCTGTGTCCAATGAGAAACACGATTAGACAGTTAATTAAATCGTAGTTTATTCGGGCTGAAACCCCAAATCTGTCTTTTCTATGAAAAACCACCCATAAAATAATCACTTGTTTCGATGGTTGAACTGTTATAACAAACAGTAACAAGTGCTCGTGTTTCAACAATAAGCATTCGTCGTCAGAAGAATCGGGAACTGTTGCCATCGTTATAACGCCTCGTTAACCACAAAGCAATTTCTTACACATGCTGTATACATGTCTAATTTGCCGATGCATATTCCGTTGGGTCTTTGCTAGTTTGAGCCGTCAACCGTGACGCCGAGAGCCCCCATTCACGGGCGAGTGCCCCCCATTCATTACGGTGCACCAAAACAATTTCACACGTTCCTACGAGGGCCTAAAAACCATCCGTTATTATTTGCTTTCGACTTGTGAGTAAACATCACACTCCCCGGGTCAATAGAAATGACAAAATGTTAAAATTACTTATGAATGAATACAATTTTAACAAGGAAATGGTGATATTTTTTTCCAAAACAAACATTTTTGCCGCATTGTTAAAATCTTGCCCTGCTGTTTATTGCCTTTCGTGGAAGAACATTTGATAAATATTGACTTTGAGAAACATAAACCATTGTGGTGATTTATCATGTCACATTACTCGGCGACATTTATATCTGCATTTTAGCAACTACAAATATTAAAGCAATATAATGGTGTTATTAATGAATGTTGCACTCGTTACATGCATTCTGTGAAAGAAAGTATGTTCACGTGCCTACATAAATTCATTTTCTCGTCATACTTGATTATGAACCACAGTATTACACTTGAATGAATCTTTTGCACTTACTGAGGGTCACATCGTGCTTGGTAATAGTTGTATCATTGAACATATTGTGATAACAATATATATGTTGTTGTCAGTCTTGTTGAAAATACGAGTAATCTCCCCTTTTGGAAGGTCAACCGTGTCGGTCATGTGTTTCCATGGTGCATGCTATACATATTTATTCACATTAGTGATATTTTCTTGTTTCAACATACTAAACATATGTTTCATAAATAAATAACGATACTTTGTGATCATTTGCTAACATTTTCTTCTTACCTGGGAGAAATTAAGTTCGTTGAGAGGCACGCACTGTTCTTCAACATGTTCAACAGCTCCGGTGACTTTACCAATCCGTTCCGCCGACTGCGCAAGGTATAAATCCAAAACAGGGATCCCCCGAGATTTGATATCACTTTCTGTCAGAGAATTTACCATAAGCATCACCCATACGGGTCGCTTCCTCTCCCAGTTTCCGGCAATAGCATTGAACAAATAGTCGGCATACAACCCCCTGCCCTTTTGATCGGCAGACATCCACCCCGGCATCATGAGGCGCACATACTCTAAATGTTCCTTCAGACGGATGTATATGTCCCTGGGTAGCACGTCCGAGAGATTGGCCCCGTGAGGCAGCAACTGGCAGTTTGCAAGGGACGTGATGGTGTAAGGATCTGTCAGGTCCAACTCGAAGAAAACGTTACCGGCTTGACGAAATGCATGTTTGGTGTTCTGGGGAATGTAATCCCACACTCTTGTGTAGGGCACGTGAATTGTCCCGAAGAAATACGACGGTGGGTCGCGGTGTATTGTCCACAAAAACGAGTTTAGCTGACTTTGCTGAAAACCACACAAGAATATACAAGGTAAAGAATTGAAAATGAAAGAGGGATCGGGTTACCCCCTGTGAAAATATACCCGACTCGATGGTGAAAAAACATGAATAAATTCAAGCCTTGGAAGAACGGGTTCTTTACTGATAGTTAACAGGGTACATATAAGTCGGGGATGAAGGAAAATGTAATCTTTGAGTAGAACAGCCGACGGTGAGATATTTCGCTGTGCAAACATATCAGGTACCTTTGGATGTGAGACACCGGTGATTGCGAACTGTGGTAGGAGATGACAAGATTGTGAAGCCATTTACTCGATACGAAGAAGCCCGTCACTATCAATAGAAAACCCTCTTCAATGCACGGCTCATCAGGCTTAAGCTTGTGATTTTGTGAATAACATATATTTCACCTCACGAGGTAGCAATAAGCACGTAACAAGATCTTATTTGCCGGAGAAAATTAATAGACTCGGGTCGTAATTTGTCAAGAAAAATGTAACCAACATTCCCCGATGAAATTTAAATAATAGGTGTTCGTTTTTCACAGGACATGCTTCTTCTAACAAATATTGCAAATTTACATTCTATTTAAAAGTAGCCTTATAATCAGTTTGTTTTATTATTCAGAGCTTGGATAATTTAATGTTTTTTCGTGTGTTTATCAGTGATATGGATAGGGTCACAATATGTGAAATCTTCAGTGAATCAATAACGAAATAGTTAATACGAGTATTGAAATCATAGCGTTAAATATGCACTGGATTCTCAAAGTCCGTGACCTTTTTCAAGCTAGACTAGAAATGATTGCAAAATTTACTGAATTTGTATAACAAGAACAAACAGGATTTTCTCTAAGTAACTAAGGGTCACAATACTTGATCGAAATCACAGGAGTCCGGTTGACGCGCAGGACCTAATACAAACAGAGATCGAAATATCATTCACGACAAAACGAGTATATTGTGTGAATGGGCCCAGACAACGCAAATCTGGAGTATTGTGAAAGCTGCGTTCATTCACAAGCAGGTCTTATAACAGGGAATTGTTGTAAAAATGGGACAACTTTTTATCGAGTGATCCCAGTGGGTTCCGAGTGCTGCATAAACTGTGCTTAGTAGCATTCGGATCTTCACCCTCCCACCGTGCTAACTTTTCGCGACAATTATACTCGTCCTGTAAAAGACACCTTTGAAAACGTATCGGGTTTGCCGTGTATGTCCCTCAGAGTAATCTACAGCCCTAACCTGAATGGGATAATTCTATACTTGTGAGTATTTTCTTTCCCAGTTTTATCACGCTCATAGCGATGTGAAAGATACTCGGACAACAGGAGAATGTTCCGTTTCTACTCCGGAGATGGCCGATTGATGCCGATTGCCTTCAGGGTGTACCGAAAGTACCAAAGATCTGTTTTAGTAAATATTGTTGTATTCGTTGATTACTACCGCAGGTTATTTTCGTTGGCTCAATACTCCATTCAACTAAAATTATTCTACTTTTGGCATGACAACAAACAAAACAGTTAAGATGTTTACAATGTAAACACATTTAATGAAAACGTACTTAACTAAATCTCAGAAGCAAATATTACGTTGTATTCAATGTTGAAATATCAATGAAACAATGGATAGATATAACGTAACTGAAACAATTTTCAGTGACCGTCTGGCGTCATGATATCTAAAGACTTAGAAATTACACAATACATATGGTCTTTAAATACAAGTTTGAATATACTTCATATAGCTTGAATCTTGTATAATTCTTCAAACGAAGTACCTCTTTAGTTAGTTCCAGCTTGACTGTTCAAGTTTAGGGATTTGAATTGAAAGGAAGTCGTATTTATCAAAGATCTACCTTAACATAAACACGGGCAGTAATGGAGTAAAAGCATTTTTTACATACACAAGGGAATCGCTCCCTCGTCTTAGACATTCACTGAAAACCATTGCGTTTCTGTTTATTCCATTGCGCGTCTTAAAATAAACTTAGGAATGATAAACCTAGAAATAAAATATATCTTCAATGCTAATTTATGACTCTGTCTGTTCTTAATTATGTAGTCTGTGTTTAGAAATGGAAATTAAATTATTCAAAGTACTTACATCCTTCGAGGAGTCGCTATCACACTTTGGCTTTTTCCTCGTGCTGGCTTCTAGTTGTCTTGCCATGGAAAGCGAAGATAGAACGAGTAAAGTGCACAAGACAATGTAGACCATCTTGACAAGGTTCCATGGATATATCCACCTAGAGAACCCTTCCTAGATACCCGAGATAGTCCCAAATGCGCCTGTCGCCTTATAACGAGGGCGCAGGTTACTGTCCAGTACCAGTGTGCCCGGCCGGTGGGGGACGGGGGTCAGCGTGAAGTGTTGTGGCTGAACTCTGTACACTGCTTGACAGTACTTTCACCGTACAGCGTCTACCTCTCCACACGAGCACATGTCCAAACGACGAGCCATTCTGTTGGACACTGATTATCACTCGCTGTCCGCGCTGAACTCAATTCATCGGACAAATTTTGACAAGTTAAATCGCCTTGATGCTCCTGGCATCCTATCCAGTGAGCTGGATATACCATAGAGAAAATTCGCCTGGTGCGCGCTCTTCTCTCCGCTTCGTCTATTGGTTCATTGTTGACTAAAAATAGATTTTGTTTTGAGGAATAGGGGCGGGGGGTCCGACTGAGGCGCTGGTCAGTTCGTGGTCATTTTGAGACTCCCCCAGATGAGCGTCCAGTCATGAATGTTGTATTGTATGCGACCACCATAAACAATAGCTCAAGTTATTGATGTAGCTTTTAATCTTTCGGAAAACCCTGAAAACAATTTTCAATTCCTCTACCATAAAAGCAATGTTTCCGGAATGGGGTTTTTCTCAATCAAATGAGATGACTTGTTGGGGTGGTAGTTAGAATTCACAATGGCCAAATGTCATATGTGGATTTCATATAGCCGTACTTCAAACACTCTGACAGCCACGCGCGAGCTTCATAAAATCAGACCTGTTTTCCCAACAGAGATGCCCGGCGACTTGACGGGGCACTGCCTGGTTAAAGGGGGAGTGGGGATACTGTAACGACTACACACGGCGCGTGTCGCGCATTCTATAGTACTCCCGGTCGCGGAGGACTCTTTATCCCTTAGCTCATCGCCCGCCGTCTTTGAAAATTCTCTGTTTTTTTCCAATGAATTGACGGTTTTTTATACATGTTTTTCCTTTTTACACTCCAACATTTTTTCGTAGATTTCTCAGTCAAATGCAATGAATGCTAAAATACCCCAGATGTGTGATAGGCATTTAGAAGTTGGTCGGATAATGCAACACACTTGATATGGATGTGCAACTTCTTTATTATTTACATAACAATGAAAAGGTTGCACATTAATTTCAAGTGTGTTAATTGTATTAAAATATCCCACTGAAACAAAAGTTTCGATAACAATATAAGTAAAACTATGTTAAAACTGACATGTTTTGAAGGGAACAATTAATTTCTAAAATGTTCAATATAAAGTCGACTAAAGTCAGCCGTGCCACTGAACGGGAATATGTGGAATAAAGTGTTCCGATTCTACTGCGAAACACATAGGATATCTAACCGTTTGATTGGCATTCTGGAAGTTGGTGAGTAAATACGAAAAAAATATTAATGGATAAGAACTTTATTTATTTCATTTAGCGACGCTTGGATGTAGATCTTACACCGTTACCAGTCTGATTGTGGAACATCGAACGTCGCTACCTGCAGTATATCAAAACTAGTTATCAGTCAAGTAGTATGTATTCTTACACGGGATGTCGATGGAAAAACCTTTTCGATTCTTCCGTGCTTTGTGTTGTATTTTGTGTACATCTTACCCAATCGATGATTTTATGTTTAGAATGAAAAACAACACCCAAACAACAACATAATAAACTGGTGGAAAGCATATACAATATGCATGTATATAAACGCTGACCTTTGAAGAGTATTGCCGCTTCAGCGTGTTCATCTTAAACTGGTTATGATATGTATCTTCACCTCTCGGCAAAAACAAAATGGTGGATTATAAGCTCAAAGCTTAACAGGAGTCAATGTACTTTTTAAATTTGAAAATACCGTTATATTTGATACGTTAAAATAGAAACAACTCGAGGAAAACCGCCATTCTTTCAAACGGAACACCTGTGCAATGCATATTCATACGACAACTGTATACTAAATTCTCACGGCATGCTGAAGAATTTTGAAGTTATAAATCTAAACTAAAATTTCTGTTCATGTTTTCTTTTAAATTATCTTTATATTCACTTTTTCCATAATGTCAATAACTATGTTTTATCTGCCTGCTATTATTTAGTAATGCTTGAGTACATCACTGATCAACTGAAACCATTTCATTGTTAATATCTAAAGCGCTCACGTAGCCTTGCTCCAAGGCTGTCCTGAATAAAGCCCATCGATGTATAATAATACTATCCTTTCAAGAGGCAAGTCTAGAGAAGCGGACAGTACTCTAATGTTATTTATATATATTTTTTCGAAATTCTCATTTAATCTATTAATTATTACCCTATAGACTTGTGTAGTCTGTCATGCAGACTCCAAAACACACACACACACACACACATATATATATATATATATATATATATATCCAAGAAAGCCCATGAAAATCTAGAATATGTGGCAAGTCTAGATTTCCACAGTTTCTGAAAATGAAGAAAGTATCTGGGCTCCGTTTCGTTATGTTTTATGATCATAAGTTAGGAACTGTTTTTTTCTGTAAAATATGTACAAGTCTAGCGCTTATACGCTACTCAAGGGATTTTCATTAAGTTCAGTATTTATTTAACTGAGTACTAATGTTTTCGCCAACTGTCACTCAGTCTTCATCTGCCTTGAAGGCGTGACGGCGGTGTTATAATCAGCTGCTTGGCGGCGATTGTGATTAAACGGTAATTAGGCTAAGCTGTCAACAGTTTTCTCAGTGTGTTTATACTAAACAATGCTGAAACGTAAGTGTCACAAATTTAACGCGAAGATTTCTCAGCGCTTTTAGGCAGGTGTTTTTTAAGTAATGTGTTAATTTAGCACCCAGTAAGAACCCTTTGCTTAATCCTGTGCATAAATAATTTTATGTGTGTAAACATTTTTTTGTTCGTAATGATTACACGATCGTTTGAAAACGCATGGGGGAAAGGCGAGGACACAGAACATATTAATAAGATAATATCATGGCAATGACGATATTAACGATCTACATGAATATGCACACGATGTTATAAGACGGTTGCCATCATAAAGTTTGGGTGTGTTGATGACGTATTTATATGTAATCAGTTATTAACGCAAGGCTGAGAGCTGATCAACGGATTGGCGCTGCTTGTTCTTGCGTTTGGACCACCACAGATGACGACGGAAAAACCGGGGGAGAAGAGGATGGGCGAGGAGACGAAGAAGTAGGAGCTATGTGACGAAGCGTGAGTTTTATTTTACGCCGCTTTAGCAACATTCCAGAAATATCACGGCGGGGGACACCAGAAATGGGCTTCACACATTGTACCCATGTGGGGAATCGAACCCGGGTCTTCAGCGTGACGAGCGTACGCTTTGACCACTTGGCTACCCCATCGCCCCATGAGACGAAGAATAAGGAGACGGTGATGAATGTGAGTGACGAATTTAAGAAGCGAAAAAGAAGTAAAAGGAGTTTGGAAGCAGGTTAATAAGAGGCGAAGGAGAAGACACGTGATGGTAGAAGGAGGAGACTAGAAGAAGCAGGAGAAGAAGCAGGTTAAGAGGAGAAGAGGGCGAAGAAACAGCAGGATAGGAGAAACGAAAGAAAAGCAGGAGGTTGGAAGGAGACGAAGGCTGGCTGGTTGTTCAGCAATATTCTAGCTATATGGCGGCGGTCTGTAAATAATCGAGTCTGGACCAGATAATCCAGTGATCAACAGCATGAGCATCGATTTACGCAATTGGGATACGATGACATGTGTCAGCCAAGTAAGCGAGCCTGACCACCCGATCCCGTTAGTCGCCTTTTACGACAAGCATGGGTTGCTGAAGATCAATTCTAACCCGGATCTTCACGGGTCGAGACGAAAGAGAAGAAACAGGAGGTTGGAATGAAAGGTCGAGAGTAGGACGACAGAAGGGGAAACGAAGGAGCAGTAGAAGGAGGATAGAGTACGAGGAAAAAGGACTAGGAGACGAATGACAAAGAATAGGCTAGCACAAAAGATGGAGAAGAACTCAAAGGAAGGAGAGACGCTTAGGATTCCCCACATGGCTACAATGTGTCAAGCTCATTTTTGGTGTCCCTCGCCGTGACAGAGCTGGAATATTGCTAAAGACGGCGTAAAACCCAATTCACTCACTTACTCTTCTATCCTACTAGGTGAGTGAGTTTAGTTTTATGCCGCTTTAGAAATATTCCAGCGATATCACGGCGGGGGACACCAGAAATGGGCTTCACACATTGTACCCATGTGGGGAATCGAACCCGGATTTTCGGCGTGACGATCGGCTGTCCCACCGCCCCCGGAAAAGATATAATAAGGAGACGAAGGGGAAGCAGGAAGATACAACGAAGAGACGAGGGAGAAGTAGGAAGATAAAATGAGGAGACGAGGGAGAAGTAAGAAGATATAATGAGGAGACAATTGAGAAATGAGAAGAGGAAGATATATGGTGAGACGAGGGAGAAGTAGGAAGATATAATGAGGAGACAATTGAGAAATGAGAAGAGGAAGATATATGGTGAGACGAGGGAGAAGTAGGAAGATATAATGAGGAGACACTTGAGAAATGAGAAGAGGAAGATATATGGTGAGACGAGGGAGAAGGAGGAAGATATAATGAGGAGACAATTGAAAAATGAGAAGAGGAAGATATATGGTGAGACGAGGGAGAAGTAGGAGATATAATGAGAAGAGAATTGAGAAATGAGAAGAGGAAGATATATGGTGAAACGAGGGAGCAGTAGGAAGATATAATGAGGAGACGAAGGAGAAGTAGGAAGATAAACTAAGGAGACGAGGGAGAAGTAGGGAGATATAATGAGGAGAAAAAGGGGAAGCAGGAAGATATAATGGTGAGACGAGGGAGAAGTAGGAAGATAAAATGATGAGACGAGGGAGAAGTAGGAAGATATAATGAGGAGACGAGGGAGAAGTGGGAAAATATAATAAGGAGACAAAGGGGAAGCAGGAAGATATAATGAAGAGACGAGGGAGAAGTGGGAAGATATAATGAGGAGACGAGGGAGAAGTGGGAAGATACAATGAGGAGAAGTGGGAAGATATAATGAGGAGACGAGGGAGAAGTGGGAAGATATAATGAGGAGACGAGGGAGAAGTGGGAAGATACAATGAGGAGACGAGGGAGAAGTGGGAAAACATAATAAGGAGAAAAAGGGGAAGCAGGAAGATATAATGAAGAGACGAGGGAGAAGTGGGAAGATATAATGAGGAGACGAGGGAGAAGTGGGAAGATACAATGAGGAGAAGTAGGAAGATATAATGAGGAGACGAGGGAGAAGTGGGAAAATATAATAAGGAGACAAAGGGGAAGCAGGAAGATATAATGAAGAGACGAGGGAGAAGTGGGAAGATATAATGAGGAGACGAGGGAGAAGTGGGAAGATACAATGAGGAGAAGTGGGAAGATATAATGAGGAGACGAGGGAGAAGTGGGAAGATATAATGAGGAGACGAGGGAGAAGTGGGAAGATACAATGAGGAGACGAGGGAGAAGTGGGAAGATATAATGAGGAGACGAGGGAGAAGTGGGAAGA